AACCAATTGTGGCAAACTGCAGATAGAATAGACCAACGGCTGCGCTTCGCACCATATTAGGGCCACTCCATATAACGCCGCGGAACACCAGAGGCCACAGGAGGAAGCAAGCATGGTGACGCTGCTCGAATCAAATCACGTTGAGGCTGGCAGTCAGAGGGCTTCCCGAACCAACTGGGGCCCTAAACATACTGTAGACTCCACGACAAGCGCCGTGTCTCTTCCAGATCGATACTGCCAACTACCCGGTAACTACCGGGTAGCGGATTGCATGCAATAGATGCCCCAAGCAATGGCAGAGAGGATGCCTTCTATCGTTGGTGAGAGTATCTTGGCGGAAATCCATACGCGAAGACCATGGGCCGAATATTGGAAGCGTCACGATGCGAATCAAAAGCCGATGCCAGAGCCGGCCAGGATAGCATGGCTTTTTACGAACAACCTGGGATGCACGTCATCGGCATAGCTGTTCGCTTGCAGCTCAGCACCGCAGCAGGGGTCAACACCACGTCAGGCAGAAAATGAGCAACTTTCACACATCAGGACATTCATGGCCTGCGATGGTTGACAAACGAGAAGATGGAAACTACTATGTGGCCCCATAGCTGCCTGAGCCAGATGGCACGCGCACTGACTGCCCTCGTCGTCAAGTGGTCACGGGCAATGCTGTTTGCGGCGTAGGCTTGAGGGCTTTTGAAGGCTGAGGGTATAGTCATGGCTATGGCGTCTGGCTGATGGGCTGCTATGTAGATGCATGGGGCTGCAAAAATGTCACAAATGAGCACCTTGCTTCTGAGTCAACCGGTCAGACTGCGTGATCCTCATAGTCGATGCAGTCAAAGGCTCTGGACTCTGTGCGCAAGCATGTAAAAGTACCTCTTGCAGACTTGGAACAAGAGAAGAATCTCAAAATTGACCTTGCCAACGCAACAGGGCAATTAAAGCCAAAGTTTCCGAAGTTGGCTTCAGAAGCATGATGCCACAACAAGGACACGCTGCATTTCATCTTTCCATCTTGCCATCAATCTGTGAATGATTTTGGGCTGGCGCAGCCTGACACGAGATTTCCACCAAATAGTCTGGAATCTTTCTCGAGGGATTGCGAATCCAAGATCATGGCAGGTCCTCTCCTGACATGAGAAGTAAATCCACTGAAGAGGCAAAGATCCTCCAAGCCGAAAGAGAGGAGCAAGAGTGGTATGGCTTGACCACTACGTAAATCCTTAACTTATGCAGGGCCTCGCAAACACACAGCTGCATCCAGCAAGTTGCCTGGATGCAGCTGCGCTTTGACCTTATCACACAAAAACATGCGTCCTGTTGCAAGAGTTTTGATGCCCAGGCATCCGTGCAAAGATCTGGCTACATAAGCAAGAAGCAACATTGCTGTGCATGTTTCCCTTCTCCATGCCATGTGCACGCACAAGAACGAAATTGCAGTCTTGCTTGTCGTCAGGCAGGTGCCTTTGCCAGCCCTGTACTCCAACACATGAATCGGATACACCGGAAAGGCATCACGCGAGCCAGTTGTTCAAGCCGATGGCCATGGCAGACCCTTTGCTTTTTGAGCATGTCTGGGCACAAAAACTGATCGCTCTCTGAGTCCAGCTACAAACCAACAAGGAATCAAACGTGGGCAGAATGAACTTCCAGAAAACAGGGGCACGAAAGGCCACACATATACGCCCGAGCAATGCCATCAAAGGTTGTGGACAGCAAGCCACAGCTGCGGCCCTTTGCAGGATATGACATGTCAGCGAAACTTCGCTCCACATTCAACGGAAGTGTCGAATCGAAATCATGAGCAGCCGGCTGGTGTCCCAGAATACAATCTAGGAACATACAATTCGTCTACAAGCCCTGCTTGCAGAAAAGGGCTGCAGAAGTGGAGTGTTGCAAAGATCTTGGGAGGCCTTGGCCTCGATTTTCACGCAAAACATTTGCATGCCTGGCACTGGGCCAACAGAGTTTCGCACTCACTTTGATGCTGCCCTGCAAAAAGGAGTGGAAATCGTTAGGACCAAACCGCTGCTTCGCACGGGGGCTTGCTAGAGTAAAGCATCACACATCGAGGCCCGCATAGCAAGGCTGACAGCCATTATAGGTGTCATCAAGGGTAGCCCCGATTTGTGACATCCCCACATGGAGCATGGTCTTTGCCTTCAAGTCCTCGCTTCAAGGGAGAACTGAAGTAAGTTATTAGCAAAAACTGTCATTTCGGTTGTGTGGACCTCTGGTGCTGATTACAAGGACCAACAGGAACGCCCTCCTTTGATGCGCGCTTTACGCAAACATAGCTTACGAGAGCCTTGATGTCTAGATTCAAGCCACCCATCTTCTGTGTTTGGAATGCGATGCCTTCTTCGCAAGGCATGCTGCTCTCAAACTTGGGGTCTATGATCATGTACGAAAACCAGCGAGATGCCGTGGCCTCTACATCTGCATCTACCGCATCTGGGTCCTCTGGTGCCTGTTCTGCTCAAGCTCGGACCTGCTTTATCTGCTCCCAGAACACTTTGAGAATATCTTGCGGCTGGAAGCTTGCTGGATAGATGTCCAGTTGCAATTGGACGTAGTCTAGGACCCCAGGACGGCGACGCAGCAACAAGTGTTTCAAAAGATGCGGCTCGGCGAGGCTTATACACGATTTCAGTGCAGGCTTCCAATTCACGGTATTGCAGTGCTCCTCATGCGGAGTGTTTGATGCATCAATATACGCTGTATCATCAGTGCAGTGAGCACGTGCAGGCGAGCTGTTGCAGTTCACTTGCAGGGTTTCTAGGAATGTGACGTCTGCCATGGAGGCACCGCCACCGCCGATGGTCAAACGAAACCCTGTATGTCACGAAATGAGTTCATCATCGTTAGAGAAAGTCACAAAATTGCATTGACTTTGGCAAGACTGTTTCGCCACCAAGGTTTGCACTCCGATACTCTTCTATTCCACCTACCCACATCCTGTTGCAAGTGTCTGTGCCAAAGTAAGTTGCGAAAAGGGCGCTGAGTTCAGCTGGAATGCCCTGCAATATCAAGGCGGCACAGCGGCCCAGCGAAAACCCAAGAAGAATCTTCGCCACAAGGCTGCAAGGTCAGCAAGCGGCATGTCATAGTGGGCTTATTCCACATCTGCACAGGATGGATAGCAGAGACATGGGTTCCGGAAGTGCTCCTGGCAGTTTTTGCTCCTGCATTCTCATCTGTTAAGGGCCTTGAGCACAGATTTGCTGACCTTCCCGACGGATGATGCCGTCACAGAGCTTTCTAGTTGGCGCTTGTTTTGCGAGATCCTTGCACCACAACTCAACCTGAAGCTTGAAATTGTAGCAGCACCCCTCCAACGCAGCCTGCTGGCTGAAGATCGTGTCACCAGGGCTGGGCGTCGTGACGTTGAGGGAAAGCTTTCTCACCAGCACGGCTGCCATGATGGGATCAACTCGATGAGCCCTGACCTGATGATTAAGGCTACAAGGAATCGTGTAAAGTCAAGGGCTTATGGGGAAGTGAAGGGCTTATGGGGTTTAGGGCCAAAGTTTAGGGTATATAGACTCCATGGCAATGAACCTACACGGAACATCCCGGAACGACCATTAAATCCCAGCTGAACCCTCAGACCCTAAACCCGAAGCATGTCCTCCTCCGCCTTCTCCTCCTCCACCATCATCCCCCAACAAGAAGCAGGGTCCGACTCTCAAGGTGACCCTTGAGCAGTTCGCTGACGTGCTTGTGGGCTAGGGCTTTGGCGCTTGGGGCTTTAGGATTTGATGGTGTGCAGGTTACAAATGTTATGCCATGGCCTGGGGTGAAATGTGTTGGGTTTGTTCCATGCATTTTGGGTTTAAGGTGCGAGGTCCCCTAAACCCTAACCCTTAACCCTACGCCCACATGCGCATTCTTGTATGAAAGATGGTTGGTACATGCTCCAGGCCATTCATGGATGTCAAAACAAGGCAATGACAAATGCGGACGCGAAGATGTCTTGAACTGGCATGCAGCCCTTCATATGTCAAATCATCATCCAAGATAAAGCAAAACAAAACCGCAGTGCTCAAACCTAGCTAAATCCTAAACTTCCTAAACTTCCTTAATCCAACATCCAATCGTGTCGAGATTCGTGTCTGTCTTCCTTGCGCGGAAGCCGCTCCATGGTGGCCACCATCGTCTTCAGTAATGTCCCCTGAGCTTACCACTATCACATCCCACCCTCCTGGGCAGTGAATGTTCTCAATATGGTTAAGTAATGTATATTGAGAGGTCAATGATATCGTGAGAAACCCGAAGCTGAGACGAAAATGGCTACAGACCTACGTAGAGTAGCTGGTCAGCTTTCGCATGCATGACTTCTGACAAGCTCGGCCTTCAGTCAGATTTGAGGTTGTGTAGATTTGGCACGGTCGCATAACCTCCACAATATTCAGAGGCTTCCATTCTAAAACTCCCTGAACCCTATGAACCCTAAGCCCTGAACCCCAAGCGCTTTTTCTAAGAGCTAAGCTGGTTGCTCGAGAGCGGCGCCAAGGCTCCCCCTCAGTCCGCTCCCCTGCTTTGCAGGGAGCGGCTCCGCCGTGCTTCTCACATCTATTTGATATTACATGATAATATCCAATCATATTATCTATATTGTAGTAAGTTACAAAAGACAATATGAAATACGCTAATAACATAGCGGTATATTATATATAGTAATATAGAAAGATGTTAATACAAAATAATGTAATGATATGCTCATACAATAAGATGGAACTAGTTCATTGGCCGTTTCCAAAATTGGGGTCCCCATTCTATAGCACCAAATACTGTAGTGCCTTGTGTGAATCAAAAGGGAACCCCTAATTTTGAGAGACCTCCACATGAGGCATACAGTCTGAACTCCTAGTATCCCCCTGAATACTGCCTTCTATAACCTCCCTTAAGGAGTCTAGACCCTCAGCCCAAAACCCCATATACTCCCCCTATGTAGCCCCATGTAAGGAGTTTAGACAGCAGCCCGCATCTCACCGCTTTCATGCCCTGTGGTGCAGCTCTCCCGGTCGGACCTGCTCAGGATGACTGTATATCTATGGGTTTAGCGGATGTGGGGGGTTTAGTTTTTTTTTCTTCGTTCTTTTTGGCGTCAAGGGGGTTTATGTTCCTTGGATAATGGAAAATCAAATAGAAACTACTATGGTGCATTGGGGTAATAGGGTTAAGGGGTGCGTGAGGCTTCGTATGCCGGCCTCCAGGGGAACAGCCAAAACGTTTGGAAGGCAGGTGTGCAAAGCTGAGATCAGCCAAGTTCCTCACTTGCAAGAACACGCATTGGTCTGAGGCTGGCTGAATGTTAATGAGAACCCTTTTGGCGACTGCCTCGAACACAGTCAGGCTCCGTGTGGCTAAGCCCAAAACCCTAATCACTGAACTGCAAGGAGGATGGGGCGCGCCCGGCGTGGGAGCCGCTCGCTGAGAGGCGAGGCGCTGCGGCCGCGCCGCACCTCCACAAACTGCAAGAGTTGCACGCATGCCTATAAACACATGTATATCTATAATCTACATATATATATATGCATATATGTTTATGCATGCATGAATTTTTGTATCTATCATGCTTAAAGAGTTGCCAGCGACAAAAAGCCGAAGCCAGCTGCTGGCACCTGCGGGCTGCCCTTGGCTCCTTTGGCCTGTGGCCTGTCAGGAACCAAGTGCCTTAAGCCTTCTGGGTTGCTGTGCTGTGAAGGAACTTAAGCTTACCTTTAGTTAGCTAGGAAGGGAGGAATGGATCCTTTTAGTAGTCCCTACACTACATTGTAGTAGCTTTCATTTTTGTCATTCCTTCATTCCCAGCTAACCAAAGGTAAGTAAAATAGCTCATGATAGTGAGGATGCCCCGCTATTTCAACTGTGACTCGCAGTGATGGCAACTTAGCTCCTTAAAATCCACCTAGTCTTGGGGTTCAGTTGTGGCCTAGTCAGCGAAGGGTTGGAGGCCGCCTGGGATTTCAGGTGTTGGCGAGCTGGCCACTGACCAAGAGAGCACTGTCGACTTAGAGCGCTGCCCTGTGAAGGACCGGATCTTTCGGCGGCCTTTTATTGCAGTCGCTGAAGGGTCACAAAGGCTGTCCTAAAGCCTATAAGCCCTCATACCCTAAACACTATAAGCCTTATAAACCCTAGAATACCCTACCAACCCAATTACCCTAACGCCCGTAACCGAAACCAGGTCGTTCTGCGGCCAGGACGTGCTGAAGTAGACTCGAAGGGAAGAGGGCCTGTGCGGGCAGATGGCATGCTCTACGCCTGTTCCAGCATGCCTGACAGATTTTGGGGGTCCCCATAATAAGGACTATAGTATGTTGGGGTATGCAAGGGGAGCCCCGATTTGGGGAAACCACTACAACATCCTCACAGTCATGCTGACTTTCATTCTGGCCTGGAGGCGTTGGTACAGTAACCTGCAAGCGCAACTAGCGACATCTAGCGAACACTATTGTTGGCATGGTAGACTGACATGAGCTGTATAGTCAAAACTTCTAGCATCCCCCTTAATAAGCCCTAGAATACTCCCCTATATAATCCTCTATAGAACCACCACCCTAAACCCAATCCCCCATAGAATTTTCTTTGAAGGTGTTTAGACTCTAGCCGACATCGCCTGAGAAGATGCTGGAGTCCCATTCTGCTTTTCGGATGGGATTCTTCTTGCGCGCCTTGCCATTGTGACGGCCCAGCTCAACACAAGGAACCCTAGGGATCCAAGTGCATAAATAATACCAACATTGGGTCCTAAAGTCTGTGAATCTTGCCTGCATTGGGCTGTTTGGCTATTGAGGCCCAGACGGAAGCGCTCTTGGTCTTCGCGGCGTCTTTGGCCGTCCCTGCTTCACAGCCCGTGCTCAGCACGTATCACAGCCCGTGCTCAGCACGTTACGCTAAAGGCATCCAGCCTTGACCCGCGCGCCGGAACTGCTTGATACCGAAAAGGGCCTCATTTGAACTAGCAACTGGTAGCACGATATCTTAGACTCTGAAAATCTTGGTGGCCAGCACTGCAGATGTGCTCCACAGACACACCTTGGTTGAAAGCTTGACTTACCACAGCTTGGCTTGCTGTGCACCACAAACCCTTGTTGCAAGCCTAAGGCTGAGCCCGCCGCCGGGGCCCCCTCGGCACCGTGACACCTGCGGAGGAAAGGCTGCTCGGAGATATGGAAATAGCCCCCGTGCCGAGCCTCTCCCGCAATCTCTGCTGGGTCGCCGGGGAAGCCAAGGACCTGGCAAACTTCAACCTTCGCACCCTAAACCCTGACCTTCTCAACCACTCTGTTTATCCAGCTTTCCACTTCATTTTCCATTTCTATTCTCCATTTTTTGGGGTAATAACCCTAAACCCAAGGTGCCTCAAGCCGCCGAGCAAACTCGGGGGCATCGATGGGCTCCAGAACCTTGCAGATTGGACTGCCGGGGGATGCAAGAAATGGATTGTATTAAAAATTATGGGCCCCGTTTGGTTATAGAATATATCATATAGGGACTAATAAGGTAATATAAGGTTTAGGATTTCTTAAGATCATGGGCCCCTTCTGGCTATAGATTATATTACGGCACCTAATATTTAGAGGCACCAAAACGGGACCCTAATTTTGGGAACCACCCCCAAATCACGCCCGAAAGAGGCCGCCAACCTGGACCCACCCTCCGGCGTGGTCACCGATCATCTTTAGCCTCCGTTGTGGCATGGATTGGCACATGAAGGCCTATAGTAATCGTAATACTAATATTATGAATAGCAATATTAACCATTAGATAATAGTAATAGTCATAGTCATAATAGAAATGAGGGGTGATAGTAATAGTAATAGGAATAGTAATAGTATTAACAATAGTAATATACTCAGCAGCATGGCTTCAGGAGCATGTCGATGGTGTCGTTGAAGACCTCATGTTCTCACCCTGGACCACGAAAGGAGCCTAATACCCCTTAATTAAAGTATATGGCTTAAATCATGTTAGGGACCCTAGTACCATCTAGCGTATATTCCTTAACGAAGGGGTACTGGGCTCTCTGGACCAACCTTGTATGCCATCTTGGAGTCTAAGGCCGGAGCTTCAGCGGCCCAACTGCGCAGCATGCGCAGCTCGATGCTCATTCCCTGTCAGAAGAACCCTAGGAATACCCCTCAGGAATGGAGAATCACATGGAAAAGATCATGGAACATAAAAATGGAAACTGGGGCTACAAAGGGGCTATATAGGGATCCAAGTCTACAAATAATACCAACATTCGGCCCTAAAGTTTGTAAATTTCTACCTAAATCGGGCTATTTGGATCCCCAAAAGGACAGCTTGACATCATACAGGCTGATGCAAGCTGACGCGAGCGCCTGCGCAGAGCACCTAGGTTGAGACAGCTAAAGCAAGTTCACATGAGCTATAATCTAAACTCCTAGTATCCCCCTTAATACTTCCCTACAATACTTCCCCTATATATTCCCCTACATAACCCCCTTTAAGGAGTTTAGAGTACAGCTCAGCTGGCAACATCGCCGTGGCCCGGACGAGCAAACATGTTGAAGGTACTCGAAGTCTGGTCTGCTCAAGCGCCCGAGGCCCTGGTAGTCCAAGCCTGACGCAGGAGCAAGGCAAGGGCTTCACAGCTTCAGGCTGTAGCACGCTAAACCCTGAACCCTAAATCCTCAACCCACAAACCCTCTAAACCCCGAGTCCTAAACCCCAATTCCTAAGCCCTAGAGCTAGCAGGAGTGGCCCTTTCAATCTTTGGGTAGATGAGTGCAGCGGCGTCTTGCCGCCACAACAGGTGAAAGCCAACTGCACATGGAGGAGCATTTGAGGTTTACCCAAATTACGGGTATGCTATAATGATACTTATAATGCTTTGGGGGGTTTAGGGTTTGCAGGGTTTAGGTTTTAGGGTCCCTCTATTTAGGGAAACTACCATTTGTTGAGAAAGCATCTGCGTCTCATCATGCAACCTGACACTACCCTGCCCCTACATGCTCCTGTAGTGCCGTCAGCCAGACCTCTTTGTACACGTACTTGTCGTAGTAGTAGTCGTAGTAATAATAGCAAATAATACAAGTAGTCGTCATCAATAGTACATAGAAGTAACAGTAGCAATACTAATAATCATAGTATACTCATAGCTTTTTCAATAAGAAGAACAGAGATATTCATAGTAATAGTTATGTAGCCCACGGGTCTTCCGCGTGCGTATGGAAGCCTATGCTGTGTGACCTACTGCAGCTCTAAGCGTCCAGGAAGTCGGCCCAAACCGAAGTTACGGGGAATGCGCCCATCTCGGCCTTGGAGGTCAACTTGCTAGGGATTCGGGTTTAGGGATTAGGGAATCAAGGATTCGGATTTAGGGATTGGTTTGGGGTTTAGGGTAGACGCCACCTTAGCTCAGCTAACTGCAATTTTGGGCAGAAGATCCACATAATTGCCAACTTAACAACTCATCTTGCTGAGTCGAACTGTTGACAAGGTGCCTACCCAGCAGGGAAGGGCAGAATGAATCTTGACAGCCGTCCTTAGGTTACGGAACCTGCAACAGAAATCCCCATCGTCCAGTCTCCAAGTCCTTACTAGTTATGCACCAGTGACCTGTGGGGTTGGCAAAAGCGCTGTGGTGTGCTTCACTACAAATAGCTCTACAAGCTGAGAGATACATAAGACAGGCTTTCTCACTAGATCAAAACGCAAGCTCTACCTCAAACTTACTCTACTACATAGGGACCATATCAGGATTATATAGCAATGTCGGGATTCTATAGGGACTGTATAGGGATTCTATTCCCCTATTCCCTACGAACCCCCAGCAAGCAAATGCATTCAAAGGGCGAAGATGCCCATGACGTGGCTTGGAGAGGTCGTCAGGGCATGACAGACCTCGATTTCGCAGACGTAGCCAAGACTTAGGGAAGTCAAGTCTGTAGGGATTCAAGTCCCTAGATGATTAGGGCTTAGGTATTTAAGGATTTAGGGTGTAGGGATTTAGGGTTACCACAACAATGGAGAATCAAATGGAAAAGATCATGGACAATCAAATGGAAACTGGGCTAATTTTTTTTTGTTCAAGTGTGTTTTGTTGGGCCTTCTCAAGGCGCTCCCTCCCGAAGTAGAGGCCCTCAGCATCCAGGCCCTTGGCCACCATTTGCTCAAAAGCCGCAATGCAGAGGCGGCGCTGTTCCTCCGTGATGGCGTGGAGGTCCACGGCTTGATTTAAAGCCTTTTGGAGGTCCGGCCACGTAAGGCGCAGCCCAAAGTTAGCCATGGTTTTGAGGAGGCAGAAGACTTGAAGCTCAGGACTTAAGCCCTCCAAAGCTGCATCGAAGGCTTCGGGCTCCGTCAAGGTCCAAGTGAACAGCTCCGGTTGGTAGCCTTACTGGGGCTTAGTAGGGACTATGGGAAAATAGTGTATATGGATTACATGGGGATTATGCTCCCTAATTCCCTACTAACAAGCAGTAAGTAGCGGTAGAACTGCCAGCCGCTGCTTCTTTGCCGGCCGTCGCTCAGGTTTGAGAACAACTGCATTTTGGCTAGCCAGACTCGGGGGCGATGTGGCATGGGGATGGCTGGCACACAGATTACCTCCCACTCATGGCTCACCACACGCGCAGTGAACTTCAGGCGGCTGGTCTCGAAATCATGTAGGAACACCTCCTTCAAATGCTTCACGTCCATGCCAACCACGGGTGCCTCAGACGGAGTAAGAGGCTGAGATGAGGAGGTCGGCAACATGACAAGGTCCAACTTAACCATTTCTCATGTCATGCGCGTATTTTGTTATAATACCTCACAATCACTGCCCACACGAAAAAAACACAAAAAAATCTCTAGGGATTCTACGTAGGGCCCCAAAATTCAGATGGGCCGCCGACCACTTGTTGGCAAAGTTGTGCGCCAGTGTCGGTGCCCGCTGGGAGCCGGACTGCCCCCAGAGCTCTCGGCTGAACTGGGTGGAGGGCCATCTAGGGCATAAGGTTTAATTAGGGTTTTTAGGGCTAAGAAAACATGTCAAAGGTTGAGGAACAGCAATCAAAGAAGATGCTATATTATTTCAAGGGCCATAGCGGGTCCTAAAGATAAAAAGGGATGTACACAAATGATGGAAAGGAACATGAAAGCTGCCATGTTTTTAGTGATTAAGGTCAAGGATTTTGGAAATAATGGAAAAGACATCAAAAGCACAGTGTCAAGTAAATGCAAACTATATTTTCAACGGAGAAAAGGGAATCTGCGATTGCATTTTGGACGAAGGGTCTAGAGTGTAGGGGCCTGCGCAATGAGTAGAACATCGGAGAATCGGATGGAACAAGAAATTAAAATGTACTAGGCTATCTCATTGGCAGGTAATCAAAAAACTAGGATTTAGGGATTGCGATGTAGGGTTCAGGGTGTAGGTTTTTGGGTTTCGGTTTAGGTTGGTATCAACAACACCCTAAATCCTAAGCCCCTCAACTCAACACCCTAAACCCCAAAACCCTAAACCCTAAATCCTGAACCCCTAAGCCCCACAATGAATCCCTAAACCCTAATCCTTCTACAGGTCGGGCTGGGTCAGAGGAAAGTTATGATCTTCTCCGGCCTGCGCCAGGTGCGACAGGATCCTCAGAAGCACCTGAGGCTACCAATAATCTTGGTAGCTTAGGGTCTATAGGAGGTATATAGGGATATATAGGGTTTCCTGGATTTAGGGATTAGGGTCTAGGGTGTTAAGGGGCTTAGGGTTTAGGGTATTATACGCAAAGCTTTAGCTTTGGTGATGGGAGACCTAAACCCTAAATCCTCAGACAGAAGTCAACCCGCAAACTCTATAAACCCAGAACTCTATGCCCAAACCCTACAAACCCAGAAGCCTAACCCCCAAAACCCTATAAACCCTGGACACCCTAAATCCTAATCCCCAAACCCCATAAACTAACCCCAAACCCGGCCAGGGCCTGCTTGTCAGAGATGGAAAGTTCCCCGCGCATCTCCAGTCTTGGGTTTCCGATAGAGATTATAGGGGGCTTATGAGGATTATAGGGAGTTATAGGGGTTATACAATATCATAGGGGGGTAAAGGGGATGATAGGGAGGGTTAGAGGGGCATTGCCCCCCCAAACGGACAATCACATGGACAATGAACTTTGAATATGACATGGAAACTACTACATGAAGCTTGTCCCTATCCTTTCTGCTTGCGCTGGACAGAATAGTGAAGATTCCAGTTTACCTGTCCATCTCTGCTCCCCTATGCTATGCTGAGTTAAGATAAACCGAAATCACAACGCACAGCTTACTGGTGGCTGGTGGGGAATAGGGGAATATACCATAGAGGCATTATGTAGGGATTATACTGCGTCCTCCTTCCCTACTAACCATCAGTAAGACAGCGAGAATAGGGACCTGGACAGGTGGTTGACCCTGTGCATGCATCTCGCAATTTCTGCCCCACTCTATATCATTCGAAAACATATAGGAACTACTATAAGGATCCATCCCTTCATTCATTGCTAACCGGAGGTGAGAAACGCTAAGCCATATGTATACATATATATATATATGTTTCTGTAAACGCAAGTTTCCATATCGTTGCCCACATTCTTTTCCATTTAATGTTCCATTCCTCGCTGACCCCAAACGCTAAACCAAAACAGCCCAAACCCTAAACCCTGAAACCCTAAACTCTGAAAGCCTAAAACCCAAAACCTTTAATTTGAGCAGAGGCTCTCAGAGAGCTTGAAGACTCGCTCGAGCTGCTTGGCTACCTATTGACTTTCTCAAAATAGAGGGGGGCGGTAGAAACTTCCTGATTACCACAATTCTGCATGAGAGTCGTGTTTTGTATCCGAAGAAAGGATACCAGTTTCTGAAGGGTTTTTGATCTCACTCTAGCTTGGGGGTGAGAGCATCTCGATTTAAAATGCACTCGCAGGGTCTGTTGGAGGGATGCTTGGGGCAATGCCCTGCCAGTCAGTCAAGGATCAAAGGCACAAGGCACTAACAGCGGACTCACTGTTGTAGCTCTGCAGAACAAACTGGAACGCGCAGCAGCACAAATGCCAAATACTGTTTTGACATAATCCTGCATGACCCTAAGCATTCAAAACCCTAAATCCCTAAGCCCTAAACCCTGTAGTAAGTACCCTAATTTCACAGGTCTAGGCCCCGTGGTGGGGGTTCTTCCACATAGGATCCTGAAGGATTTTGGGCATCGCCCCATCTGAGTGGTGATTTTTTCGGTGCTCGAACCCAGTAAGAGTATACTCTTAATGTATACAAGACTATACCCCAAAGGAGGATACAATCTTACTCCATATATGGTACCATCGGATCCCCAAAGAAAATACGACTCATCTGCTCCTGGCCACGCTCTTCAGCGTCTTGGCAAGCAGGTCCGGCGGCAGGGATGAAAACATGAGTGCGTCCCGTTGCCACGTGATGAACTTCGCGAACGTGAGCCGCCGCTCCTGGCTAGAGAGACACACCACAAAGTCTGGCGATGCACAGGACGTGGCAGTTTCTTTAGTCCTGTCTGCTTTCTTTTTGCTTTTCAGAAGCAGCTCAAAGCCAATATACAAAATCACCTCAGGGCCGGACGCCCTCATGGCCGATGCCCAGGTAGCAGTGTTGTAAGTCTCCCTTGAGCACAGCAGGGTCGACATCGCCGCCTTTTGCCGGATTCAGGCGGAGCGCGTTCTGCAGAATTCCATGAGCTTGCATGAACTCTTCCAAACCGATGACGCCGTCGTGGTTCTGATCATAAGCCTGGGCAGTGCCAGGGGGGATTGCAAAAAATTGCGGCCAAAACTCACCCCAACTTACTTCAACAGTTTTTGGAGGGGACCACCTTTTTGGGGATAAGGTACAACATAGCAACTTCATCTCTTCCTGGCACTGCAAAAGGGCTCTGAGGGCCCCGCCCAGAACAGTGGCTCCAAGGCCGCTTTCAAGTCGAAGAAGACCAGCTCCCCCAAAGGGGTCACAGACAGCGGAGTACTCGGCTTCAGGATCCACCTTACTGGTAATTCAGGGAGGACTGGGGGACGTTTTTTTTTTCAAAGGTTTGGCTCCACCTTTTTTCCTTTGAAAAGTTTGGCTCGATATTGCCTCTCGTTTCCTTGTAACTGTC